TGTGTATATATATATATATATATATATATATATATATATATATATATATATATATATATATATATATATACACACGTATATATACTTCTAAAAGTCGTGTATAATGCATAGGAACGTTGACGCCTGCAAGGCTCTGGTTGTTGATGTTATCCATGACAGTAATACGTACCGCGAAATGCTAGGCCTCTGAAAATCCCCATAGTTGGTAGTCGCCACTCTATTGGAAATTTTTATTTCAAATTTCGCGAAAATGATTTATAACATTCCCTGCAAGTTCGTCGTTCAAAACTGGTGCCGAATCAATGTTTTAGAGCCTCCCATCAGAGCCATTAATAATAATAATAATAATAATGATATTAATAATAATAATTGACCGCAAATATAGTAATAATATCTAATAATATTAATAATTTAAAAAAATACTTAGACCTACTTAGACCCCAGCTACTCATAGGAGCTAAAAACTAATTTATTTTAGTTCTCAAATATGCATATTCTTTATGTTGATTTATTAATTAAATTTTTGCTACAGGGTATTTTACAGCATTTATTTATTATTAATTTTTTTTCTTGAATTTTATAATTGAGGGCAATTTTTTATTTCTCGATTCAATTCTTGCTTATACAGTATTTAAATTTTTTAAGATTAAAAAAAATATATCATTTCTATTACCGAATTTTTCATTGGGGCCACTTTTACCTACCTGACATATGGGGCCATTTTTACCGGGGCCATTTTTCCGGGGCCATTTTTTCCGGGGCCATTTTTTCTGGGGCCATTTTTCCGGGGCCATTCTTACCTACATTCGTTTAGGGCTAGTATCAACTTGACAAATACACACACTTCAGAAATTATTAAATATAAAAAGTATTATCCAAACATGTACATAGTTTAACAAATGTAACAAGTAACAGGTTAAAGCCTATGATATACTGAATGGGCTGCTGGGGTAATCACGCGATACTACTAAAAACAAATCACTCTTCTGCAGACACTGGATTACCAGTGGTATAATTTTAATTTAAGACATAGTCAAGGAAAAATATCGTTTATACTTGAATGAATTATTAATTAGCAAATTTGCAATGTACATCAAATTGTCTAATCGAATATTTATGTATTATTAAGGCTATACCTGATTAATAAACAAGTAACTAAAACTGCTATTAATTATATATATATATGAAGAAAAATAATACTATACCAAGTATAAAGGTATTAACACAAAAAAATATATTTATGTTTTGGAAATCATGCTGGTTACACAAAGTGTGTAAAATGAAGGACAAAAAGTTATACACAATTCAATTACAAACTTGTAAATACAATATTGCCTACAAACAAGAAGTCTATGTTCGGAAAATTCTGAGGATGAAAACCATTTGCTCTTTAGTTGTTTACATATAAGAACTTCATGGACGAATGTAGGTAGTTTCTTAAGGTTTATTACAAATGATGATATCATTTAAAAACCTGTTCTTAGAACCGGATATGTATTAGAATATTTAACTTATACTTCTGCAGAATTTACAATTTATTAAGAGAAAATGTTGTCTTATTGAGCTCTTTCGAATGCGATATCTTATTGAAAATTTAAATTTATATTGTGCCTATAGGCCTATGTATATTGGCCAAAAAGTGGTGAAAGAAAATGGGCAGGAATATACAAAATATATAAATCAACAGGAACATGACGTTATAATCGTATAAAGCATAGCCCTTGAACTTCGAATTCATTTTTTCAGTTGTATGAAAACCCTCGCTATAAAGGCGAGTATCATACCATTAAACCATCGAGACCACCTATATAATAGGTATACTCGCGGATCTAACCCCCAGGCATTTTCTCTCATATAACCAACTGAAATGCTCACACATTCATGTAATGTTATTATTATTATTATTATTATTATTATTATTATTATTATTATTATTATTATTATTATTAATAATATTATTGTTAAATAATAATAAATAATAAATAATAGTTGGATTTGTAGAGCGCATCATGCGAAAAAGCCTCTATGCGCTTGGTGATTGAGCTCTTTGAGTTGGACATTTTGAGAAAAAGGTTATTTTATGAAACTAAAAAAACCTACTGCTTAAACTAAGGCATGGTTGGCCGTTGGCTCCGAGGAGTTCATCCGCCCTTTGTTCAGCTGTTTTTTTTTTCGTGCTGCTGGGTGTCCATCCACCCTCCCATTGGCGGCCGCTAAAGACCACCAGATGGAATTAGTCGCCGACGACTCGACCGGATGCAGTTTATAACGTCGTGCCCAGGACACTATAATCCTAATCTACACTTACATACACTAAAATAAACCAACTTAAATAATTGGTTGAACTATTCCCATAATAAATAAATGAAGGTTTCGGGTCAGAGGTCGGCAAATCAACAAAACAGGAATTTCTTGAGCTTTGACTTGAATATATTTAAACTTGTAGCTTCTCTTAAGTCAGATGGTAACTGGTTCCAGAGGATAGGTGCAGCAACACTGAAGGCTCTATCACCATAGGATTTCAACCTAGAAGAGCGTCTGGTAAGTACAGAACTGCTAGTTGACGATCGCAGTGACCGTATACATGACATCGACCGAAGATTTAGCATGTCGCTTATGTACACAGGTGAAGAGCTTTGTATGTTATGAGATTTATCTTAAAAACTATCCTTTGTTTGACAGGAAGCCAGTGAAGTCGGTTCAGAATAGGAGTGATATGATGAAAACGTGGAGTTCCTGAGATAAGTCTTGCAGACATATTTTGCGCACGCTGCAATTTTGAGATTAATTTATCAGGAAGGCCATATAGAATGCTGTTGCAATAGTCCAACCTACAAGTGATGAATGCATGAACAATCTTAATAAGTGCTTGTTCGGTCAAAAGGTGGCGAATTCGCCTGATATTTCGTCCCTGAAATGCTATAGATTTACAAATGCTGTTAACATGTTTCTCCATGTCCATGTTAGAATCAAATAAAATTCCAAGATTCTTTACTGCAGTAGATGGAGTAATATTATTATTATTACTATTATTATTGAATATTATTGTTATTATTATTATTATTAATATTATTATTAGTATTATTAGTATTATATCTATTTGTATTTCGTTTACGGTGCTGCGCAGCAAATATAAGTTTTAATATATATGTATATATGCTATAATAAGAAACTGTAAAGTTCAGGAGTCACAAGTCGCTTGCAACTTGCAATAGTCTCCGGGTAATTTGGACACTCCCGCAACTAGTGGGAGTCTTTCGGAAATCGGCACTGCCTCCCACATTCCCACAAGCCAGAAATTATCTCCCGGAAAATAATCCATCTCCCGCAAATTTATAATAGGCCCATTTGCATGTTTTCACTGCTTTATTATCAATTTCTCATGGAAGTCAGTACCGATGTGTATCACCATGTATCAAAATATCATTAAAAATGTGTTATGAAAGCTAATTAACCAGATCAGTTTCTGAGAGTGATTTCCAGCCATCTAGAAGTGCCATAATCATATTTTTTTTTACCTCAACCGCAACCATGGTGGGGCTCATGTGGTTCTAGACCCTCCATCTGTAAGTCCCTATGTGGGCCCATTATTTTCTAATTCCTGGATTCGCCACTGCAGATCTTTACTTTTTCCAATTTGGGACCCCTTAAAGTTTATGATGTACCTTTTTATTTTCATGGAAGCTGCGTAAAATACAGAAGAAATTCCCCTGCTTTTTGTTTCTATTTATTTATTTGTTTTTTTGGTTTTTTTTGCACAGGACGGCCGCCATTAGAAAAATATAAATGATTTCATGTATTGATTAGTCTGCATTAGTTTAATCGACACTATTAGAAAACGATCGTTAGTATGATTTTTTTTTTCAGAATAGCCTCTTTTATTGTACAGTGTATTTTTTTTATTTTTCTACTTGCTTCCAAATAAAGTTGATCGATTATTCGATTGAATAGTGCTAAGAAAATAACAGACGTCCAGGCGTTTTGCTTTTGCTTTAAATTCTGATAACCATATCGTCAAACTGTTTTAGATACGTGAATAGAAAGACGTATAGTTTCGTTTGAATTTTTTTCCAAAAAGCATCGAGCAAATATTGTGTTTCCAAATCAATCAATCAATCAATCAATCAGTCAATCCTTTCGGAAGAGTGTTCAATCGAACAGTTGTCTAGTCAATCAATCAAACATTCAATCCTGTCGGAAGATTATTCAGTCGAGCAATTGCCTATCTGGTCAATCAACAATCAATCAATCAACCAATCAACCAATCAATCAATCCTGTCGGAATATTATTCAATCGAGCTATTGTCTATCTAGCCAGTCAATCAATCAATCAATCAATTAGTCAGTCATTGAGTCAAATAGTCAATCAGTCAATAAATAAATAAATAACTAAATAAATTAATTAATCAATCAACCAATTATTCAATCACAGAATGACTTATATACATTCAAACGATAATTGATTGATTAACTGATTGATCGATTGATTGATTAAGTATTATATATATTTAAATGAACATTCAAATTAGACCATCATGTTGACTATCAGTACCATTAAATTTATTTCCACCAAAATTTATGAACAGAGGCATTAAAACTAAAGACATGTTTTTCTAACTAGTAACAATTCCGTAAAATACCAATGCAATCACAACCCTATTAAAATAATTACTGTATTAGTAATCAGAAGAGAAAAAAAATCAAATTACATAATGAATTATTTGAAATAAGAGGGTACTACAACCATTGATAGAATCAAAGTGAAATTGAATGTGAATTTAAGTGACTGGCATTTATTTTAAATATTACTCAGCACGTGTGTGATAGCCTCGATTTTATTTAAGACAGGGCACCAAAAAAAATAATATTGTTGTAAACGAATTCTCTAAATCGATCATGAAATTATATCACTATAAATTACCCCGCTTAAGAACTACGTAATAACAAACAAAAATCGAACATTAACTAGCTAATAAAGCATATGTTTTGTAAGAGCTGAAATATAGAGATTCTATCTACATCTCCTCAGTGTTTTTTCCCAGTTCCTATTACATCTCTTCGCTGATGTTCTGCAGTTGACTGTACGCATTTCTGGTATGGATCCGACTTTTAATCCAATAGGCACACCCTACTCCAAGAACTACCAGGCTAACAGCAAACAACAGTGTGGAAGAAAGGGCGAAAGAAAACCCCTTTGAAGTTGATTCTGGAATATAAAATTGATAATTAACTTTAATCAATATATATTTATGTGGGTTTCAACAGTACACATAATACAAGCAAACACAGCAAAGAGCTTATATAGGTCAAGTCTGGAGCTTCTTTTATATTGGTGTAAGCCCTGCAGTTTCAGAAACATTTTGTTTAAATTACTGTCCCAGGATCAAATTCGATTTTTTCCACTCACAGATTCATCTTCTTTGAAATTCAAAAAAATACAGCATTATCACGAGACGGTTTAAGTTGATCTGTATTATGATTCTTTTAAAAGAGTACTTCTTTTTTTTTTTTTGGGAGATCCCGATTGCAGTACGGTGAGAACTAGCATGTTGCTCTATGCATGGGTGTGCAAAAAGGTGTGAATTGGTTGCTTCTAATAGAAGTCTAATAAGCCACATCTTAGTCTGAACTGCGCATGCCAAAATCCATGTTTCCAAGCCACAATGACCCAATTGCTCAAGGTGTTTGCTTAGACAGCACAACGTAAATAAGTTATTTGTTTCCTTTTTCTATTCCACACTAATTGTTTTCTTTTTCTCTTTGATGTTAAATTTAATAATATTGTTTATATACATTTATAATATACGGTACATAATATTGTATATTTTTTTGTAAGGTTCAGTTATTTATGTAGAAAAAAGTTAGTGAACCAATCAACCAAAATGTTCAAAATGCTTATACCTTCAATGTCAAGGACGACCTTTGAGTCTTCATCTGATCTCTTCAGTATCACAGGTCCTAGAAAAATGGGAACAGTATCGGACAATTTATCAGGTGCAGAGACGTCACGACGTTGACGTTGACGGCAGTTTCTATGGCAATGCGAGTCACTTCCGTTGCAAATAGATAATTGACAGTGAACAAACACCTATAACAAGAATAAAATTACAATGAACAACTGATCATTATCGAATAATAAGTAATGTAGGCTATATAAAATCTGTTTGCCAGTAACATCTATTGACTGAAGTTTACGTCTTTTAAAGCTTTGTTATTGGTTATTAGTATTGATCGATGTAGTGTCAATAGTGAAGCGCGATTCACGTTGCGATTTCCTTAATATTCACTATAGGCCTTTCAAAAAGGACCGTCAGCCCACTGTGTTCGCACACTTATAGGCTCACTTTCTTTAAAATACTTACCGTGGAGTAATCGCCAATGAAACCAAAAGTATCAAACGAAAAGAAAACACGTGCTGTATGGTTGGATGTTTGGCCACCGAATTCAACAGTAGAGTCCACACCACAACTGTGATGAAGCATAAAGGAAGTTAGCATAATAGAAAAAAAAATGTTTAGGATTATTTTTTGCAAAAACGATTCCCATGTTCATTATTGAGAGTAGGCCCTATATATCTAATTTATTGTACATGTTCCTGATAAATTATTAAAACTACCTGTTTTCGATTATTTGATACTGTGGATTAGCATCCGGGTCAGGATGAGGTGTCGCCTTGCAAGAGTCAACAAAAAGTACCATGTCGTTGGTGAAAGTTTGTACACTTGCACCGACGTATACTTTGCTACCATAGATCAATTCTACAGGATAGGACCAATCTTGGTATGGTGTAGAGTAGTCTCCACTGGTGTACAGATCCATCGTAAACGTGAAATTCCCATTTTCGCGCTTATTAAAATGCTCTATGTTAATTTCTGGTTGTTTGAATCTAACCGATGATCGCCCTCTATTGTCAATCTCACACTCGACGAAAATATGAAATTCCCCCTTTCGGGAAATCATTCCGCCGGTTTCGGATGCAATGATCTGATTATGGTAGGTTGTCGAAGTCAGCGTTGACTAAAAATAATATTTTAATGAAAAAAAAAAACATTAAGTAAAAAGCAATAATATACAATTTCTGTGGAAGGGTGGTAAAATATGGTGACATAATATTTATTATTGGTTTATAGTTTTCTAAGTTAATATATTTTTAATATTGCCAGTCATTGGTTTTTCAAGTTTTTGTAAAACTTCCCCACTTCTACATAGTTTAAATATCAACAATGTATGTTGTAGTATTGTATGCAATCAGCTCGGTCTCATCAGTCAGATCTTCCATAATAACTCAAAAGCTAGAAAACTGTATGCCTATCTATTAAATGTAGAGGTCAATGGCCAAAAAACATTAAAAACACATTAATAGATCAAATTAAGTGCAACTTAAAGGAGACTGATAATTTTTATCTATCTGCGTATATTATGAATAGTGATTACAGCAGAAATTTCAACAAGAAACTAAAATCAATAGATTGTAAGCATCATGGTATATGAGCATAAAATGTACTATGGTTCAGGACTTATTTGTCAATGATAACAATCTAGATCTCATTAAATTATTATTTAGAAGTTTCTGAACTGTTGTTAGCCATCGTTAATGCTATTTAATTTAAATGTGCATGATTTTACATAAGTATATTGATCTATGTCATGTGTGTGTATGTATATATATATATGTATACATACACACACCTATATGTGCACATACATACATATACATACACACATGCATGTAAATGATTTACCGTATGTATTTTGATATGTAGTGATGTTTTGTTTTGTTGTATATACCGTACTCTCCATTTTTGGAAGCCATATTGAATAAAGAATGAAGAATATTTAAATAGCATTATTTATCAGCTGCTTATCTTTAGAGGCAATTGTTAGATATCTGAATTTGAAAATTATTTTATCCTATTGGACTCAAACACCAAAATAAATATAATTATAAGTATTTCAAATGACAAATTTTTCATGTTTGGTACCATAAGACTCATTTTGTGACATCTCACATTTTTGCTCACCAGCAGGCTTCCATTATCGATTTTAAGCACATTGGGACTGGACCATGGTATTATGCGCATAATTATAAAAGACTGATAAAGCCTATTTGAGCGACATGGTGGCAACTGTTATTATTAGGGGGAGCTTTGCACGTCGGAACGTAAAACAGATTCACTCATCCTAGAACTCTAATGTTCACGCATGCGCAGATAAATGTATTTTCCCCATAGAGATATAATAAAAATGCTAGAGCGCTAACCGCAACGTATTCGATGTTCGAAAATATGCAGAACTGTGTGTGTGTACCATCCAAGATGGCTGCCATAGATTTAGCCAATCAAATTTCGCTAGCACCATCGTTTGCAATTGCGCCCTCAATTTACTCAGAAAGTTCAGTACAGCTAGTTACCCGAATGTTTGAAACTCGAGCGTTGCGGTGTTTGGGTGTAATGTACACGATTTTAATTTTTATTCCTTGGTATTTATTTTTGAATAAGATGCTCCACTTGGCCTTGTTTTGGCTACAATAGTTTAATAATTTGTTATTACCATTACTCATTATCATTAATGAAATATTAGTCAGTCAGAGGGCTTATTAATATGTAATATTGTATACTAATCCTGCAGGTGGCGCTTTACTACGACGGCCATCTTGGATGGTACACATACATAACTCTAAATTGCTGCGCCATCTTATCAGCACTCTAGTTGTTTAATAGCTCTATGATTTTCCCTCATAACACTGTAGATCTTACCGTTGTGAAGCAATCGAAAAAAGCTCTATTTTATAGGCCTGTTATTAATTCAACGTTTGTGTAAAAATGGTAAATTGATAAATGTATATTTATATTTCATTATTAATTGTACCGTCATTGAGGTTTTGCACTCGTCATATCTGGTATTTAGATAGATCCATTGAGTGCCGCTACGATAAACATATCCTGCAGCAGTACATGTTGGATCAAGGAAGTGCACATTGCCGGTGATGTTAAGGGACGTATCCAAGTAAACGGTCATATTAGAGCCACTGCAAACAACATCTACAAAAAGAGTTGTAAGGTTAAACAATCAGTCAAATAATTATTTTTATATTTCTACAAAACGTATATACAAAAATTCTGTATTTGGTTGTTATATTTCGACATTTACCATTACATATTTTAGGCAATTGAGGATTCAGATTTGCGTTTTTCACTTTTCATTTCATTTGTAGTTCTTAAAAATGTAGTCCTTAAAAAATAGGTGAAAGTAAAAATACTGGATTCCAATCAGTTTAAATTGTGATACCCTGTATATCTAAGCAAGCAGTTTAGGTTCACCTTGATAACAATTTAAATCGCACTAGTTTCATATTTCTTATTAGTACAATGTGTCGTCTAACACCAAACATAAACAACCCAATTTCACTGCGTGTTAATATATGAAAATAGAGGAAACTGTAAAGTAATTATCCAAAAGGATTAGTAAGTTTGACAGTAAACAAAATCTCCTTGGATTGAATTTAATGAAGCAATACAACTGGGATTGTTGATATTTCACTTGAAAGCAGCTGCGATTAATTCTATACTTTCTTGATACACTCGCATACTAGTTTAACTTACCAGTTTTATAATCTAATTCATTATCTGAAAGAGAGGATAATAAAAGCAAGTTAATAATAACAAACAAAATGTTTTCTTAATTTAACATAAAATTATTTTTACCTGTATTGCTACTACTACTACTCTTATTATTATTATTATTAATGTTATTAATAATATTGATAATAATTATAATAATCACTTTTCGTTCATTCACATTCTTATTCGTTCATTTATTCATTCATATATTAATTTATTCATTGATTAGTTTATAAATTCATTCATAAATTGATAATTTCGATCTTTTGTACAGTGAAGGTCTGCGTATATATTATTATTGTTATTCATTTATTTAATTATGTATTCATTCTTTTTTTAATTCATTCATATTCATAATGTAAAATAATGTACCAAATGTTTAAATATATTTACAAAAGAATGTCACACGTACTACCGGTAATGCTGATGTCATCAATTGCAATGTCACTTGTAAATGAGGTTCCAATAATGCCTTCGAATACGATGTAGTTGTCGCTAGTTCCATAACGTTGGAACGGAACATTAGCTTGATACCACAAATTCCCTTGGTTGCCAGACTTTGTCCATAAAATATCATAACCGTTGGTAGATTTTCTATAAACGTTGAGTGTTCCCATTTCGGCTCCGTACATATGGTAATAGAATTGTAAAATTTGACTTCGCTCTGATGAAAGCAATGGGCTCCGTAGACGAGCTGATTGCCCAACGCTCCTAGGAGACGAAGCCTCGGTGTATACATAATTATCATCTAAATATTGTTCAAAAATAAATAACTTGACTGATTAGTTTTGGTAATAGATATATAAATGCTCAGTAACATAAAAACGGCAACGGAAATGTATATAAACCAAATACAGTAAACAGACAAAGACGAATTGTGAAGACGATCATCCTGTGAGAATGAACAGCAAGTTAGGTTAAAGCCCTGTTCACACTACCATATTTTATTAAACAAAAACATGTGACATGCCTAAATATGGTCATGATGACATCACATTATGACCATATACAGACATATCATGAATATATACAACAGTTTTCTATTTCGAAGAAAATTTAATTATCTGAGCAGAGCTTAATATTAACCTATCTAAATTAATTTCACGCCATAATACCATGGGTGTTGGCCTATTTTTAATGTTTTAGGAACTTACTGTGCATTTACAAAAAAATAGTTAATACTAATGAATTAACTAATGAAATAATAACTAATGAAAAATCCCCAAAATAATCACAACATAGCGTGTGAAAACAGCACAAGGTGTTTCTTAAAGTCTACTTACAACTATATCCTGAATGACCGTCTGTCGGTCCAGTGCCAGACGAACCAGTGGAACCGTATATTCGTGTCCAATCGAAATTGTCCCCATATTCTTGATACCAACCTCCCCAACCAGATTGGAAGTCGGTAAATATGTCAACTTGAAATGAAACAAAAAAAAGACAGAAAAAACGTTACAAAAATATAGAAAGTATCTACGAATATTTTAAATTAAACCTGTTGGTATTTATTTCTTTTTTAACCCTGATTTGCCATGGGGAGATTGCGATAGTTATTCCAGTAAAACCTAATTATTTTAAAGATATAATCAATTGATAATTGATAAGAACTTATTGCATGATATTATAATGATTTATGATGATCTCTCTCTCTCTCTCTCTCTCTCTCTCTCTCTCTCT